CCTTCATGGGACCATAAATGTTCATGTAGCCCCTGTGTCTTTGAGTTAAAATTGTAAAAGTCGATACATTTCCTGAGCGTCACCCTCTGGTTCTGTAACAGGCTCATAAAGATGAGTTACCGTGTGCACACACACGTAGACAAATACGTTTCTTTTCCTGTAAATATTTGTTTGTTAATAATGAGGGTGTAAACAGCGTTGTGCAAATACTGCCTTTCATGTTGTTCAAACATCGCGCAGTAAAGATGTCTCCCCGCCACGCTGTGCCAACTGCTGCGGTCGCATGCTTGTGACTGTTCAAAGCCCGGGGCGAGAGAGTGAAATGTGTCAGGCTGTGCAGCTGATAACACCGACTCTGTCACACTCAGGCCAAAGAGTGTTTTGTGGGGGAGCCACAGCAGATGATGGGTCTGTGACGCTGCAGACAGAGGCATCCAGACATGGACGGTGGGATACGGGCACTTTCTCACTCATCCACTTGAACTGTGTCTTGTCCTTTCTCTTCTTGCCGCACGGTGCCTTTTCATTTCCCTCGTGGAGTGTCAACTACAGCTGGCCTGGAACATAGTTTCCATCAGAATGTTCTAGTATTATATTGGCATACACTGGCTTTTATTCCCGTGGAGCTTCCTTTTTACTCTTACTTTCTCTTTCTTTAGGACAGAATCTAAATGAAAATCCAATCGGTAATTATGCGCCTAATTACTTTATTGATACATTGGTCAACTGAACTAACTAGAAAAAGACAAAATTATATGTCAGGGACAAAGTCCAATTACAGTATATTAAGTTAACGAGCAGGACCAAATGAGTTTGTTGCCTAGGAGGTGGGACGTGTAAACCATTAGACCTAATGTACTGGTAATAGAATAAACCCACATATATACAGTACATATATATACAAATATAAACATATATGTACACATACTGCAGTAAGAATTTTTAAAAACAAGCTCAAAATACCAGTTTTTCAGACACTTTTACACATTCATATTTCCATCATCTGGATGAGTCACAACTAAAAACCGGAATATATGGGAATGTTGATTTATCTGGATTTGATTTGATTAATCCAAAGAGATTAAACATACAGTACGCACATGCGCATATGTATACTGTATGTGCATGCAAATATATGTATATATATGTATATATATATAGAGAGAGTCACATAATTAAATTACGTTGACGAAAATAATTGTGATATTTTGCGGACTAAAACTAAACTACAAATACAACAGTTTGAAACTGGCTGTCAAAATGACTGAATACATCCCATTTTAAGTAAACATCCTTTTTATTTACATCCTTTTGACTGTGTGGCGATTGTTTATGTCTCCTTAGGCTGTTGCCTCCCTTCAGACTCTTTCACAGCGAGAGGCAGTGACAGTATAAAGAAGCGCTCCTTGAGTGTGGAGTGTCTTATCAGCCTCCAACATCTGGCCAAGAATGATGGCTTCTTGGAAGAGCTCTTTAATGTCATTGAGTTTGAGCTGCATAATGCTTGTTTAACTGCATCCTCCTCACAATACTTACTCACCCCTGTCATAATGCATCTCTCACCCGAGGATGCCATTTCTATGATTACTCAATTTAGTCCCTCAGCAGGGCAGGATGATGTGAACCAATGCACTGAACGGCAGGGGAAAAAAAAGTTGAATCGAAAGGTGAAGCGAGTCAAATATGAGCGAAGAAAGAGCCACGTGACGAGACCAGTCACATTTCCTCATCTTAGGTAACAGAAATATTGAATTATGAGGTGTGGAGTATTAAAAGTTGTTGGTTCTATTCGCAAAAAACTTTATTTTTCCTTCTTCCTTAGGAAACATATTGTTAAATGTCTGCCGGTTCTGAGTCATCCAGGTCATTTTATCCACAAGTAGTTACGTCAAGGAGCAACTGGATTGTTGGGTTTGTCCGAAGACGTTTCACCTCTCATCCAAGAGGGAGAACTGAAGAGGCCTCTAAAGTGTAAACCTGTCAGTCCAGGTGCCCCTTGACGTAACTACTTTTCCATATTGTTACAATGTTCTAATTGTCAGTGACTTCAACGATACGGCCTCGGTGCCTTGCATCTCATCAAATTAAAGCTCTGAGGTAATACGGAACAGATTTTAGAGTTTATCTAAACACCTGGATCAGGATCTGCAGGTCTCTGAGCAGATGCTTCGTGTCGTGTCGGGTTTGTTATTGTCAACAATGTGACAGTGACGAGAAGGATTCTTTACTGTCTCTTATGCAGTTTATCACAGAAATTAGACTACATCACTGGGCTTGGAGACTTATTTTCTTTGTTTTGGTTTTCCTTTCCTTCATCATCTCTCCTTCCTAAAGGCCAGAACCACATGTGCCACAGAACCCTCCCTGTTCGCCCCACTGTTCACCTGGAGAGGGTACGTTTCCTCCAGTGGTGTCAACAGCTGCTCCATTTCTCCTCATGATAAAAACACTGCTCTATAGGAGATTGTAGTGCCTGCAGAGTGTTTCAGATATTTTCATACAGAGCTGAACCCAAAACCAAACCCACAGTCGATTCCCAGACCGTCTCTGCCAGCCTACACATTTATTAAATCTTATTTTTAAAAAGAAAAGTTTTTTAAGATAGCACCAAATTTAAAACCCAAAGTTGAAAACTCACAGAGAAAGGATTTTTTTGTCAAATTTAAATCAACCCAACAAAGACAACGGACCACTGAAGTTTAGAGCACAATCACTCAAAGGTCTGATTAGAATTAAAGCAATGTAATGTGTTCATTTACAAAAATATCTTCTCTAAGAGGACTTTACGTCTGATTCCATTTCTACTTCATCCTGTTGAATCTCTGCGTTTTTAAACTAAAGCCAGGGGAACTGTTGATGCATGTGCGTGTGTTTCTTACCTCTCAGATGTCACTGCCCTGCTACCATGATGCCTTGGGACTACTTTGAGATATCAGTGTTGTTTATCACAGCCCACCACTGCATCAGAAATTGCTTTCCCAGACTGCATCATGCAACAAGGAAGCCAAAAATCAATTTTTGTGCAGGGAAAAACATTCACTTGTCTGAGTCTGAGGTTTGTTTGGTTTTTTTTTTTAGATGGGCTAAAGGACAATGGAAACCTGTCTGGTCACAATTTATTTGAAAAATTGAAAGTTCTTTCTTTGCCCTGTTTTTTTCCTGTTTAAATTTTTACTTATAAAGATGTGCTCAACTCAAGATGGCTTCTGTTCCCTGGAATTTGATGTTTTTTGAAAATATGGGCAACATGAGGTTGTTCAAAATAATAGTAATACTCCAGTTGTCTCATATTTAAAATAACTTTCACGCTCAATCATACTAAAAGAGTCAGAGGAAGATCTTTATCCAGTTGTGCTGCAGGAGACAGGAAGCTTTAGCATGTGAATCCTCTCCATCATCAGGAGATAAGAGGAAACATCGTTTCATCTATGTTTTAGTCTTTTCACTTCGCCTCCAGCAACACTTCTTCTTTTGGTATTTTAACTGAAATAACCTCAATAACTTTCTTTTAGTCTTTTTTTTCCCCGGATCATATCTGTGTGTTTCCTCACAATAATAATGCAATTGAATTCCAACAGAGATCAAATCCAGGGAATAATGTGCCGTGGCCAAACTCTCTTAATTGGAAATAAAGTAGAACAATCATCGACATTTCCTATCAATTACATCTGAGCTTTATTTTGCTCCCCTTGTACGAAATGTTAGTTCGCCTTCATTAGTATTGTTTGAAATGGTGCGTGATTACCTTAGTTCACACTGAGAATCAGCATGCACTGTAAATGACCAATTAGACGGCTCCATTGGTATTCTCCACTTAATTATTCAGCACAACATCACAGCGAGGCTACGTGGCAGGTGGCCTGGCACAGTGTTCAGGCTAAAACAAATATCTACAGCAGGTTTAGTCCCGAGTCTGTAGAGATGCCCGGCCAACGAAGCCGGCGGGTCAGCAGTTTGACTCTGGTCATAATGACTCGAGCGTTGAGGTCACACAGCTGACATCCAACGACTTTGACACCGAGGCTGCGGAGACCAGGAAATCAATGTGATGTCATTTTAGATTCATCCCCTGAGAGTTGAGGAGTTGTGGGAACGCAGCTCAACTTTGACCCTGTTTGGAAAGGAAATCTCTCCCTCTGATGATGAGGTCACGCTGTGTCATTACATTATTGACATAGTTGATTAACACAATGTCTTCACACTCATAATGGCTCAGATTCTGCTGTTATTGAACATGACGGTCGGATGGCTCGTACTCTAGATGAGCATGTAGATGTGGACTTCAACATGTCTTAGTAGTGGTAAAAAGTTAGTAGTGGTAAAAAGACCCAGTAGATTTCAGTGTTACTGTAGGCAAAATCCAGTCTTTTTGTGTGTTGGGAAAACACTACACTGCACAGTGACATTAAGGGTAGAGAAAAAAACCTGCAAGGTAAATAACTCAGCCTTTAAATATGTGATATTGACGATTTATTTTTCAGATGATGGAGGATGTCAGGTGTTTGTATGTGAAAAAGATCAGTTAGTAGTGGTAAAAAGACCCAGTAGATGGCAGTATTCATTTTATCGTATGCAAACATTCCATTAAATTGTAGACCGAATAAGAAATACATTATTGGACTCCTGGGGGACATGGTTGGTGTTACATCTGCTCCAAGGAAGGTACAGGATATATGCTAGGTTACTAAGTTAAATAAATAAATTAAGTTGTTGTTTTTTCTTCAGATTAAACAACAAATGACTTCAACGTTTCTCTTTTTGTATTTTTATCTTTGTAGATCCGTAGTATTACTGCAGCACGTGCAACTTTATACACTGCACTACTACAATAGTGCAAATGATCGAATTACTGGTTAAATCATAAATATTGATCCATGGTGTTGAAGATTGAAGACCCCTGCAGTAGGGAAA